GCGGCTCCCGCTCCGCCCGCAGCAGCAGCAGCCCTGAGCATGGCAGCAACAGTTGGCTGGCAAGGTAAAGAGACGTGGAGCTGCACCACCGTGGCTCGGATTTCCACTCGCGCCTGAGCTGCCCCCCCAAATCACTGCTGGTTTCCATCCTCTTGAGGGACGACTGTAGGCAGGGAACATACAGGATGCTTTTTTAGCCTTAGCTTGGCTGATCCCTCTTATCACTTCTCTCTTCTTTTTTTCCAAGTTCCCTCTACTACCTTGTCTCTCCCTTTAGATTATGCTCACATGAATAAAAACCCCGTAAAGACGTTTGCTGGCAACCAGAAAGTACAAATGTCTTTTTTTTCTCTAAATAGAAGAGGATAAATTATTATGAAAATGCGAGTCTACTTGGAAGATATTGTGACCCTTCCACCTTTGTTTTCATCAAGCCAGCTAGTGCTCAAGCTACGTGTCCTGAGCAAGAAGGAAAGGAGGGAGGGGAGCAATGAGGTGCTTTTTCTTTGCCTTCTTTCCTCACTTATCCCTTAGCTGGCCTTTTACTCTTTTCTAAAGTGCAAGCAGGTCTTCAAAATCTCCTTTATCTCTCGAGAAATATTAACTCTTAACCTCGACTGTGGTCCTCATCCGATCTCTCCTATGCAGGCTTCTCTGAAATGCAAAGATCAGCCCTTTCTCAGACGAATCTCCCTCCGTGCTGCTGTCCGGGGGGGGGAGCAGAGGGGACATCCCTTGTAGTTTCTAACAGCCGAGACATTAGATCGCCCCCCCCCCCATTTTTATTTTACAGCCGGGCGAACCATAGGCCCCTGTGTTGCGTCAAGCGGCCACTCTGCTACCAACTTGCTGCTCAGATTTTGTCTCTTTCACGAAGCTGATCTGCACGGACAGATCTGCTCTTAATCACTCCTTCTTTTGGGGGGCGGCAGGCAGGGAGGATTTCTCTTTGCTATTTATTTCTTGCCCACGGAATCCGGGCTAGTAATTACTGCCAAGAGAGGGAAAATGTAGCTTCCCCAACTCCTGCCTGAGATGCTCTCAGTGCTGTGTGCATGCACAAGGCAGTTTCAGAACCACAGAGCTGGTGCTGATGCTGCTTTGCTCGCTTGCAATCACCTCGTCCAAAAGCATTGCCTCGGCTGGGTTTTCCCTCGGATTCTGCCTTTTTTACCCTTTTCGGGGGCACTAGTTTTTGGAGAAAGAGTGATCGGAGAGATCACCGGACTGCAAGTTGCTTAAAATCAGGTTGGAAGTGGGCAGGGGGGAGGGAGGCGCCTTTGGCAAGCGCTTCCATGGTGCATCTCCTGCTAACTGGGGTCTCCCCCAAACCGCGGCGGATCCGTGCACCTCCCCCTCCTCCTCCCTCCCTATTATTTATGGGGTGATCCCAGTAAATCCCACCCTCCCCACCTCGAAATAAGCCGAGGCTCACGATTACAGAGCATTTAATGAATCGCTCCGAAGAATTTTTTTTATGAATTAATCTCGATCAACTAGGACACCCATATTTTTCAAACACGGCTATGTCCTGAAAGGAGGGGAGGGGGGGGGAAGGTTAGGGTAGGAGAACTTTTAAGAAGTTTTATTCTATTTTTATTTTTCCATAAATGAAATAAAAACTACCATACAGTTATCCGAATAAACGTGTGATTTGCTCCTTTAGGCAAAAGTCGATTAAAAAGTTAGGCTACTAGGCGACGGGGAATATTTGGACGTTTGGGGGACCAAGAGGAGTAGGAAAGGGGGGAAAGGGTGTTTATTTCTCTCACTACATATATATCTAGAGAGACACATATATACACTCACAACG